GGACTCGAACCGCTGAAGCATCGACCATTTCTGGCCGGCAACTTTCAGCGTCATTAAGCCTGCTGCGCCACCGCGTCCCCTTTGATGTTCTTTAGGATGGTGCAAAAAGGAGACAAGACCATAAAGCTCAAGGTCAATTATTGTACAATGTACATTCACAATATGAACAAAGGCAAAAGCGGACAATGTGCAGTGGTTAGAACTGAAGTATTTCCCCAAATATTTTCCATGTTTCATAAGTGTATTAGTAACAGATGGCAACTGCAAATACAGTATTAGATTAAGATAGCAGTTTTAAACGATTTTTTCCTTAAGTGGTTATCCTTAGAAGATACGTGAGGGAACTACAGTGCAAACCGGCAATTTGCTGATGTAAATTTCACCTGGAAATTAACTTGATTTGAGAGAATTCTTTAATTCAAATTTTCCCAAAATCTACACCATTAGCAGTATGTTAAAACTACAGAAACAATATTGAAATTTAAGAGTCATCTGACCATTAATATGGAAGGAGTGGAAGGCTTCTGCAGTCAAGAGGTAGAAAGTTGGGGAGGAGAAGTCAGCCCAGTGGCACTTGATGTACAGGGTGTGTCAAGAGTCCTCTGTCCTCTGCTTTTTAATATTTATATGAAGCCACTGAGAGAGGCCATTCAATGGTTTAGGGTTTGGTATCATCAGTATGTTGATGTTATCCAACTCTATATTGCTACTCCAGACCATGAGAGAGATGCTGTCAAAGTTTCCTGATGTCTGGAAGCTGTCAGAGTCTGGAGGGGAGAGAACAGACTGAAGCTGATCCTTGGTAAGTTGCTATTGATACACTGGGGTTCTTAGATGCTGCCAGAGTTGTTCCTAGATGGACAAGCTTTACCCATGAGGGAGCAGATTCAAAAACTGAGGATTCTTCTGGACTCACAGCTCCCACTGGACCAGCAAGGAGAAGTGGTTGCCAGAAGGGCCTATGCTCAGCTTTGCTGATGTACTGGTTGTGACAGTCCCTGGGGAGGAGGACCTGGCTACAGTGACTCTTGCCCTCATCATCCATCCACCCCAGCTAGACTAACGTAATGCACTCTACTTGGAGCTGCCCTTAAAGACTACTTGGAAATTGCAACTGATCCAAAATGCAGTGGATCACATACTTTCTGGTTCCTGGCACTGGGAGGACATAACACTAGTTTTGCAGACCCTGCATTGGTTGCCAGTTGGTTTCCAGGTACAATTTTTGACAAGACCACCTACCCCAATCAGTACCAGCCTGACTGATCAGATTAAACAGGAGAACCTGCTATCAATCTCACATTTTCAGGGGGAGAAGAGCTGAAGTGAGAAGGTGCTGCTTTTCTTTTGCAGCACTGATGCTGTGGAACAGCCGCTGGGTGGAGATTAGACCAGCCCGCTCTTTGTTGACA